TCTCACCTGTAGATGATGCCTTGGTTGTGCAGGAAGAAGAGCCCGATGGCGATCTCGGCCGCGTAAAACCTGGGCAAAATTGGGAAAGTTTGGGAAAAATTCGGGAAAATTTGGGATTTTTGGAAGGTTCCTGAAAATTGGGGAATTTTGGGATAAAATTTGGGATGAATGTCGGGACGAATTTTGGGCTGAATTTTGGGGATTTTGAGATAAATTTTGGGATGAATTTTGGGCTGGATTTTGGGAATTTTGGGGACGAATTTTGGGGATTTTGGGGACGAATTTTGGGGATGAATTTTTGGAATTTTGGGTTGAATTTTGGGGATTTTGGGCTGAATTTTGGGAATTTGGGGATTTTGGGATTTGGGGGATTTTGTGAATTTTGTGATTTGGGGTATTCTGTGATTTTGTGAATTATTTTGTGAATTATTTTGTGAATTTTGTGAATTATTTTGTGACTGTTGTGATGATTTTGTGATGATTTTGTGAATTTTGTGATTTGGGGAATTTGGGGATTTTGTGAATTTTGTGAATTTTGTGAATTATTTTGTGATGATTTTGTGAATTATTTTGTGAACTATTTTGTGAATTATTTTGTGATGATTTTGTGAATTTTGTGAATTATTTTGTGAATTTTGTGAATTATTTTGTGAATTATTTTGTGATTATTTTGTGAATTTTGTGAATTTTGTGAATTTTGTGAATTATTTTGTGACTGTTGTGATGATTTTGTGATGATTTTGTGAATTATTTTGTGAACTATTTTGTGAATTATTTTGTGATGATTTTGTGAATTTTGTGATGATTTTGTGAATTTTGTGATGATTTTGTGAATAATGTTGTGATGTTTTTCTGAATTCAGTGTCACTCACGCCGCGTGAGGCTCCCTGAACTTGCCGAGCTGCTGGATGTGGTACATGAGGTCCCCGCCCGTCACGTACTCCATCACGAAATACAGGCGGTCCTGCCCAGGGCACACCAGTTCGGACCAGTTCAGACCAGTTCGGACCAGTTCGGACCAGTTCACACCAGTTCGGTCCCAGCCAACCCAAAATTTCCACTCTGTTGGCTCCCAGTCCATCCCAATCCTTCCCAGTTTATCCCAATCCCCTCCCAGTGACTCCCAGTTCATCCCAGTGCTCCCAATTCCCTCCCAGTCCATCCCAGTGACTCCCAGTTTCCTCTCCCAGTGTCCCTAAATCTCCTCTTCCACTCATTCCCAGCCCCTCCCAGTCCCTCCCAATCCCCTCCCAGTTTGTCCCAGTCCATCCCAGTGACTCCATTTCCCCTCCCAGTCCTTCCCAGTCCATCCCATTTCATCCTAGTCCCTCCCAGTT